ATGATCTTGATGGGGATGACCGGGAGGACGCAGGGGGTGAGGTTGAGGATAAAGCCGCCGGCGATGCCGAGCAGGGCGAGCAGGAAGAAACCGCCGACGCCCGAGAGCGCTCCGAGGCGGAAGCCGAAGAAGGAGGAGCCGACGGGGACGTCGGTATCGAGCTCGACGATTTCGCCGACGGTCAGCGAGTCGAAGACGGACGCGTCGAAGTCCGTGAACGTGCCGGTATACGCGGCGTCCGGCGCGTCCGGGTCGACGGTGATCTCGAAGGTGTACTCGGGGGATTCGGGGAAGAGGCACTGGGTGTCGTTGCACGCCTGGTAGTAGGCGCTGAGCGTGAGTTGGTAGGTCCCGGGCTCGACGTCCTCGCCGACGAGGAGCGGGAGGAAGGAAACGGCGCGACCGTCGAAGGTGGGCAGGTCGAGCGCGGGGCCCCCGGAGGGGTTCGCGATCTTCGCGACGTGGGTGTCGGGCCACTGGACGCGTCCGACGGTGCTGATCCAGGCCGGGACTTCCTTGAGCGAGACGCTCGTGTTCTGCGCGAAATCCTGGATGTCGGCGGGCAGGACGTCCAGCTCGCGTGCTGGCCAGGAGTGGTAGCCCTGGGCGTGGTCGAGGACGAAGGCCAGGACGAGCTGGCCGCCGGGCTTGACTGCGGTGGCGCTCGGCTCGGCGGTCGCGGTGACGGGCTCGCTCGGCGCTGCGAAGGGGTCGTTGCCGAAGGGATCGCCGCCAAACTGCGCAATCGCGATGGCCGGCACAGCGAGCACGAGAAGGAAAGCGAGGAATCGACCGAAGCGGCGGTTGAGCATTCGTTGGAACTCCGAGGAGGGCCGGTGGGCGGCCCGGGAAGCCTTGGGTGTGATGAGGCGGTGAACCGAGCGGGGCGACGGATTGTTCCGCGGTGCGCCGCTCTGGGATGGTATTCGCGGAAATCCGGGTCTGGGACCCCATTTGTACCGTCGTCGGGCGGGTTCGTCGCTCAAGTTTTATCCGGACGATGTTCGATAGGAAAGAGACAGGTGAGCCCGCGTGACGGTTGCGGTGCGGATGTGTTTTCTCGGCGGATGGATCGGCGGCCCCAGGATGAACGACCTTCTCGATCAGAGCGAAATCGACGCCCTGCTCTCGACCTCCGGGAGCGTCGAGACCGTCGATCCCGAGACCGGGCCGAAGGTGTTCTCCCGCTCGGGCCGGACGATCGACATGAGCGAGGTCCGCCCGTACGACTTCAAGCGGCCCGAGCGCGTGTCGAAGGACCAGATGCGGTCGATCGAGACGCTGCACGAGGGGTTCGCCCGGATCTTCGGCGCGTCGCTCTCGGGGTACCTGCGGACGATCGTTGAGGTGAAGGTCGCGACGTGCGACCAGATGACGTACGCGGAGCTCATCGCGTCGCTGCCGAACCCGACGAGCTTCAACATGCTCGACACGTCGCCCATGGACGGGACGATGTGCCTCGAGGTCAGCCCGCTGATCATCTACCCGATCATCGACCGTCTGCTCGGCGGGACGAATCATGAGTTGTTCATCCCGCAGCGACCGCTCACGATGATCGAGACGAAGCTCATCGACAAGGTGATCAACCGAGCGATCGAATCGCTCGAGGACGCGTGGTCGGGCATCAGCGAGCTCAAACTCAAGCTCGCGGGGAGCGAGTCGAACCCGCACCTCGTGCAGATCGTGCCGCCGAACGAGGTGGTCATCGTGGTCTCGTTCGAGATCAAGATGGGCACGCGGGCGGGCACGATGAACCTCTGTATCCCGTTCAACGTGATCGAATCCGTTATCGAGGACCTCGCGGCGCAGTCGTGGTTCAGCCTCGGGACGGGCGACAAGGACTCGAGCTTCGCGAACCGCATCTCCAAGCACCTCTCCGGCGCGACGCTCGACGTCGCGGGCGTGCTCGCGGAGACGACCATCACCGTCGACGACCTCGTCAACCTGAGCGTGGGCGACCTGATCGTGACGGAGAAGCTCTCGACCCTCCCGGCCGTGGTGACGGTCGAGGGCGAGCACAAGTACACGGCGCAGATCGGGACGTTCAAGGGGGCGCGGGCGATGCGGATCAGCGACCGGATCGAGCCGCCGGAGGCGGATCCCCCGCCGCCGCCCAGGAAGAAGCCCACGCCGAAACCGGAACCCGAGGACTCGGATTAGTCCGCCCGGCCGGCGACCGCGTCCTCGACCGACCCGGTGAAAACGAAGAGCTGGTCCACCCGGAGCAACGTGAAGAATTTGAAGTGTTCGGGTGAGAGCCCGGCGAGCACGAGGGCCGCCTGTGCGTCTTCCGCGATCTGCCGGACTTCGAGCAGCGACGTGACGCCGATCGACGTGACGACCTCGACGAGCGTGAGGTCCAGGACGACGCGATCGGCCTCCTTGAGCGAGACGATCTGTTCGACGGTCCTCTTGAGATCGGCGGCGGTGACGTGCGTGAGCTGGCTCGGCACCCGTACAATATGCGTACGTTCATCGTCGCCTGCGGTATCGACGGGGAGGGCGGTCATGGTTCACAGCATCGGATGCGGGGCGCGCCGGGTCAATCCGTGGGGTCCGCCCGGATTGACATTGAGCCGTCACGACGGGTACCATCCTCTGTTCGGAAACTGTTGGAGCGGGTTTATGTCACCCGGTCCTTCGATGGATATGGAGCAGGAATGATGCTCGTGGTATGTGGCCATGCTGATTGAAGTCGTGAAGAACGCCGGAGGGCACGCCCTCCACGGTCTCGCGACGCCCGGAGGCGGTTCGATGATGTGATCGGACCCGACATCCCGGGTGTCCTCGGACGTGTTCTGCGTCCGAAGGCGTGTCAGCACCGGCCACGCTCGCTTTTCGCGGAGCGTGGTCTTTGTTTTTGGGCCGCGTGAGGCGCGAGATCAGGACGGCAACGAGGAAGGCCCCCCCGCGGGCCCAGGACAACCAGACAACCAGGCAACCCGCAACGAAAGAGACAGGCCAGGGCCATGAACACACAGGAAATGATGCGCGTCATCGACGCGATCGCGCGAGACCGGAACATCGATCGGGACACCCTGATCGGCGACCTCGAGCAGGCGCTCGTTTCCGCGGCGCGCAAGTACTACAACAGCCTCGATACCGAGGAGTTCGCGTGCACGATCGACCGCCTGAGCGGTGAGATCGCGATGACGCGCCACGGCGAGCCGCTGGACATGCCGCCCGAGGCCTTCGGCCGCATCGCCGCCCAGACCTGCAAGCAGGTGATGATCCAGAAGTTCCGCGAGGAAGAGCGCTCGAGCATCTACGACGAGTTCTCCAAGCGCCAGGGCGAGGTCGTCACCGGCACGGCGCAGCGCTACGAGGGCGGGTCGCTCGTGATCACGATCGACCGGGCCGAGGGCTTCATGCCGCGATCCGAGCAGATCCCGGGCGAGCAGTTCCACCCGGGCGACCGCATCCGTTGCCTGATCCTCGATGTGCGGGACGTGGGGAACCAGATCAAGATCGTGCTCTCGCGCGGCCACCCGGACTTCATCCGCCGGCTCTTCGAGGTTGAGGTGCCGGAGGTGTCCGAGCGGATCATCGAGCTCAAGGCGATGGCGCGCGAGGCGGGCTACCGCACGAAGGTCGCGGTTTCTTCGATCGACTCGAAGGTGGACGCGGTCGGCGCGTGCGTCGGCGTCCGCGGCAGCCGCATCAAGAACATCGTGGACGAGCTGAACGGCGAGAAGATCGACATCGTCCGCTGGAACGAGTCGAGCCAGATCCTCATCCAGAACGCGCTGAAGCCGGCGGAGGTCGCGGAGATCTCCCTGTGCTTCGAGCTGGGCCGCGCGACGGTCGTCGTGGACGACACGCAGCTGAGCCTGGCGATCGGCAAGCGCGGGCAGAACGTCCGCCTGGCGGCGCGTCTGACGGGGTGGGACATCGACATCCTGACGCCCGAGGAGTTCAACAAGGGCCTGGAGACGATGTCCACGAACCTCAAGGGCGTGGGCGGGCTCACGGAAGAGATGCTCGACCGCCTCGCGGCGCTGGGCATCATCTCGGTGTTCGACATCGAGGAGGTCGGCGCCGAGGTGCTGACCGCCGAGCTCGAGCTGCCCGCTGAGGCGGCGCAGGAGGTCGTCGAGAAGGCGAGCACGGTGGCGAAGGACGTCGCCGAGCAGCAGGCCCGTGAGAAGGAAGAGGCCGAGAAGCGCAAGGCCGAGGAGGAAGAGGCGGCCCGTCGCCTGCTCGAGGAGGGCGCGCCGATCGACGGCGAGGTCTCCGCGGACGCGGCGGCGGCGGCGATCCTCCAGGCCGGCGCCAGCGCGGCCAAGACCGAGCAGCCTTCCGACGGCGAGGGCGAATCGGTGAGCGTCACGCAGAGCGACGAAGCCCGGGCCGACGCCATCCTCGGCGGCGGTTCGGACGACAAGAAGGACTGAACGCGACGCGGCCCGTTCGGGCGCGTCTTCACGCATCGAATTGAATCTGTCTGTCTGGAGTCTTTTTCTTGGCCAAGCGAGTATTCGAAATCGCGAAAGAACTGGGCGTGAAATCCAAGGCGATCGTTGAGAAATGCGCCGCCGAGGACATCCCGGGGATCACCAACCACATGTCGAGCGTCTCCGTCGGTCTGGAGGCGACGATCGTGCAATGGTTCTCCGACGACGACTCGGGGAGCACCACCGCGGTCGAGACCTCGACGAAGGTGGACCTCAAGAAGGCGCGGGTGAAGACGGCCAAGAAGACCGCGAAGAAGAAGACGGCCAAGAAGGTCGCGCGTCGCGTGACCGGAGAGGGCGACGACTCGGGCGACACGGACGCGAGCGTCGAGACGCCCGCCGAGGAATCCGCCCCGCCGGCGAAGACCGAGTCGCCCGCGGCGCCGCCCGTGGTCGAGACGCCGGCCGAGCCGGCGCAGGCGGACGAGGCCGAGAAGCCCGCCGAAACAACGAGCGAGCCGCTCGCGCCCGCGGCGTCGGCCGAGACGCCCACCGACGACGGCGGCACGGCCACCGAGCAGCCCAAGCCGGGGGCCCCCGCCGCGATGCCCAACGTGCCGACGCGACCGAAGGTCGTGAAGCCGGCGGGCCCGCAGTTGGACACCGAGATGAAGAAGCCGGCGAAGCTGTCCGGCCCGAAGGTTGTCCGTGTCGAAGCGCCGGAGGTGATCCCCCAGCCGCGTCGTCGCGGCAACGCCGAGCCCTCTATGCCGATGTTCCGCGGCCCGCGCGGGGGTGGCGGCGCGGGCGCCATGCCCCCGATGATGCCGGGCGAGGACGACAGCCGCCGAGGCGGCGGCGGCGGCGGTGGTGGCGGCGGCGGTCGCAACAAGCGCCGCTCCGGCGGCCCCGATTCCGGCGGCGGCAACCGCGGACGTCGGTCCGGACGGACCGGCGAGCCGTCTCGCGGCGGCTCGTGGCGTCAGCAGGACCTGATCGAGCGTGAGGCGAGGCTCTCGCGGTCGGAGGGCTTCCTCCGTCAGCGCCGGCGAGACCAGAAGATCAAGAGCCAGCAGTCGTCCTCCAAGAGCGCCTCGCTCGCGGAGACGGGCGGCACGGTCAAGATCAGCGCCCCGTTCACCATCAAGGACCTCAGCGCCGCGACCGGTGTGAAGGCCGCGGACATCGTCAAGAAGCTCTTCATGGAGGGCATCATGGCGAACACCAGCAGCGCGATCACGGTCGAGAAGGCCGAGGAGATCATGCTCGAGTACGACATCGTGCTCGAGATCGAGGCGCAGGCGACGGCGGCGGAGCAGGTGGAGCAGTCCTTCGAGGACCGCGACATGCTCGACGAGCGTCCGCGGAGCCCGGTGGTGACCATCCTGGGCCACGTCGACCACGGCAAGACGTCGCTGCTCGACAAGATCCGCAACGCGAACGTCGCGGCGGGCGAGGCGGGCGGCATCACGCAGGCGACCAGCGCGTTCCGCGTGAACCTGGACGTCGGCGGCGAGCAGAAGACCGTCTGCTTCCTCGACACGCCCGGCCATGAGGCGTTTAGCGAGATGCGGTCCCGCGGCGCGACGGTGACGGACATCGTCGTGCTCGTGGTCGCGGCGGACGACGGGGTGATGCCCCAGACGCGCGAGTCCATCGCGCACGCCAAGGCGGCGGGCGTGCCCGTCGTGGTGGCGCTGAACAAGATCGACCTGCCGAACGCGACGGACGAGAACATCCAGCGCATCCTGGGCCAGCTCACCGAGGAGGGGCTCAACCCGACGGACTGGGGCGGCGAGACCGAGGTAGTCCGCACGTCGGCCGCGACGGGCGACGGCATCACCGACCTGCTCGAGATCCTGGACCTGCAGGCGCAGCTGCTGGAGCTCCGTGCGGACTTCCAGGGCGCGGCGACCGGCACGGTCATCGAGTCGCGTCAGGAAGAGGGCCGCGGCGCCGTGGCGAACCTGCTCGTGCAGCAGGGCGAGCTGAAGGTCGGCGACAACATCGTCGCGGGCCGGGCGTTCGGGCGTGTGCGCGACATCCTGAACGACCGCGGCGAGCGGATCAAAGAGGCGACGCCCTCCACGCCGGTGCAGATCTCCGGCCTGGACGTGCTGCCGGGCGCTGGCGACAAGTTCTACATCGTCAAGAGCCTCAAGGAGGCGCAGCAGGCGGCGGAGCACGTCCGCGACGAGATCCGCGAGAAGGAGCTGGCGACGCCGAAGGTGACGCTCGACTCGATGTTCGCGCAGATGAAAGACTCGGAGAAGAAGGAGCTGCTCGTGGTCGTGAAGGCCGACGTGCAGGGCTCCGTCGAGGTCATCAAAAAGTCGGTCGAAGAGATCTCGACGGACGAGGTCCGCGTGCGGTGCCTCTTCGCGGCGGTCGGCGGCGTGACGGAGTCGGACGTGACGCTCGCGTCGGCGTCCGGCGCGGTCATCCTCGGCTTCAACGTCATCCCGTCGAACAAGGCGCGGAAGCTGGCCGAGGAGAAGGGCGTCGAGATCCGCTCGTACCGCGTGATCTACGACATCATGGACGACATGAAGGCCGCGGCCGAGGGCCTGCTGGAGCCGGAGCTCCGGGAAGAGGTTCTGGGGCACGCGGAGGTCCGCCAGGTCTTCAAGATCACGAAAGTCGGCGCGATCGCGGGCTGCTACGTCACGGACGGGTCGATCGAGCGGAACGCGCTCATCCGCGTCACGCGGGACGACATCGTCATCGAGCAGGACCGCGTCCTGGAGCAGCTCAAGCGGTTCAAGGACGACGCGAAAGAGGTCAAGGCGGGCCAGGAGTGCGGCATGAAGATCGCCGGCTACGACGACATCAAGGAAGGCGACATCCTCGAGTGCTTCCGCAAGGTCGAGGTCAAGCGGACGCTCTGAGCGCCGCGTGAGAGAGTGAACCGATGCACCTTGGCGTTCTGGAAATCGAACTGCTCCTCGACGAGAGCTTCTCGCTCAAGGACAAGCGGCGCGTGGTGAAGTCCCTCAAGGACCGCCTGCACCGCGAGCACCTGGTGAGCGTCGCGGAGGTCGCCGCGCAGGACCACCTGCGCCTGGGCGTCCTCGGCGTCTCGTTCGTCTCGGGCGATCCGGAGCGTGTGAGCGCCGTGCTGGACGCCGTGGAGCGGAAGATCGACGGCGGGACCGAGTACCGCACGGGCGGCCGTCGCCGGAGCGTGATCAGCTCGGACTCGTTCTTCAAGGGCCAGCTCTCCGAGGGCGAGCCCGCGTGGACCGACGAGGACGCGAAGGCGTTCGAGGCGCTCGGCGAGCGGGCGATCGAGGAGTCGAGCCGATGAGCCACCGGACGGACCAGGTCGCTTCCGTGATCAAGCGCGCGGTGCAGAAGGTGCTGGCCGAGGGCCTCTCCGACCCGCGCCTGGCGCCGATCATCACGGTGACGGACGTGAAGGTCACGCGAGACCTCAAGGACGCGAGCGTGTACGTCACGATGCTGCCCGAGGACCAGAAGGACCTCACGATGCACGGGCTGCGCTCGGCGTCGAAGCACGTGCGTCACGTGATCTCGAACCAGATCGCGCTGCCCAAGGCGCCCGTCATCCATTTCAAGCACGACACCGGCGCGCAGAACCAGGCGGGCGTCCTCCGGGCGCTGTCGGAGCTGCGCGACGAGAACAACCCATCCGAAGACCACGCACACACCGTCGCCCCGGAACCCAAAGCGGGCGACGCGGAGGCACAGCATTGAGCGCCGCAGTCAGCACCAAGAAACTCGAGTCGTTCGTCAAGGCCGTGACCAAGTCGTTCGCGCCGGCGGAGCCGTACGAGCCGATGACGCCCATCAACGAGCTCGTCTTCTCCTTCCTCCTGTGGAACACGACGAGCACGAAGGCGAACATCGCGTTCAAGAAGTTCAGCGGGGCGTTCGTGGACGACAACGAGCTCCGCGTCACGCAGGCGGACGAGCTCGCCGAGATGCTCGGCGTGCAGTACCCGAACCTCGAGGAGCGGGTGCAGCGGATGCTCGCGGCGCTGGACGAGGTGTACAACCGCGAGCACGAGGTGAGCATCGCGTCGTGCCTGGAGATGTCCAAGCGCGACGGGCGGAAGTATCTCGAGACGATCGAGGGGATCACGCCGTACGTCAGCGCCCGGATGACGCTCGTGACGCTCGGCGCCCACGCGGTGCCGATCGACGACCGGATGCTCGAGTCCATGATCGCGATGGAGCTCTTCGAACCGGGCACAGCCGTGACGGACGCGATCGGCGCGATGGAGCGCGTGGTCCGCGCGAGCGACGGCCCCGGGGTGTACGACGCGCTGCAGGCGTGGGCGGACGAGGGGTGCCCGGAAATCGCGAGCAAGGGCGGCAAGAAGTCCGCCGGGAAATCGTCCAAGAAGAAATCGAGCCGCAAGACCTCCAAGGCGTGAGCGGTCCGAATCCGGGGGTCCGCGCGTGCGTACTATGGGTGTGATGTCCACCAACGCGAGAACACACCGTGCGTCCCCGCTCCTGCTGGCCGCGCTGATCGCGCTCGCGGGGTGCGCGTCCTCGGTGCAGACCGGCTCGACCGACGGGCCGCCGCGCACGCTCGAGCGAGTCGACCGGATGGTCGAGCGCGAGCGGGCGAGGGTCCGGCTGACGGATGGCGTGCCGCTGCCGCCGCTGGTCGACCCGGCGCTGCTCGAGCCCGTCTCCGCGGAGAGCGAGCGGGCGTTCCTCACGCTCGACGAGGCGGCCGCCGATTTCCCGATGCCCGAACCGGTCCTCGAGGCCCGCGAGCCCGTGACGGACACGTCAAGGCGCTCGCCGGCGCTGCGGGCGTACATCAAGGGCCTGCACGCGCTCCGCGCAGGCGAGTACGACGACGCGGTCGATCGGCTCACCACCGCGACGCGCCTCACGCCGGGCAGCGTCGAGCCGTGGCTCGCGCTGGGCGAGGCGTACCGCGGGATGGGCAACCGGATCGCGGCGTCCGGGGCGTACCGGCGTGTCATCGAGCTCGACCCGACGAACCCCGACGCGCTGGACGTCTTGAGCCTCCAGGCGATCACCCTCGGCCGGACCGACGAGGCGCTGCCCTACCTCTTCTCGCTGCGGGCGAAGCTCGGGAGCGTCGAGGACGGGGCCCTGCCCTTTCTGACCCACGACCGGCTCGGCCGGGCGCTCGGCGATCTCGGCTACGACCGCGCCGCGGCGGAGGCGACCTCGCTCGCCGTGGACCTCCCCGCGCGGGCGCCGTATTCCCCGACGCACCAGGACGAGCTCTCGGCGCTGTACCGCGAGCGGGGCGAGCGGGCGGTGCGCGTGGGCGACGCGATGATGCGGCTCGGCGACCCCGTCGCGGCCGGGGAGTGGTACGAGCGTGCCTACCGGCTTGACGGCGTGGACCAGGCCGAAGCGCTGGCGCGCCGGCTGTACGCGATGCTGCGTCTCGGACGCCCCGCCAATGCGATCAAGGCGCTGACCGAATCGATCCTGACCGAGCGGGTGAGCGTGAACGGCGAGACGTCCCGGTTGCTCGAGTATGTCGCGTCGCGACTTGAGGACCGCGGGCTGCTGGGACGGACGCTCGTGGAGTCCGCGGGTCTGCTCGACGAGGACCGCGCCGCGCGGCTCCGGCCGGCGTTGCTCCGCGCGAGCGCTGTTTCGATGGGCACGGACGGGGCGACCGGGTACCTGCTGACGCAGCTGCGTGCGGATCCGCGGAACGACGACGCGCGGCGGCTGCTCTTCGAGCTCATGAGCACGACGCCCGCTCCCGACCGCGCGGGCACGCTCGTCTCGCTCATCGCGCTCGCCCCGGAGACGGGGCGTAGCGTCGCGGCGCAGGCCTCGTGGCTCTGGGATTCGCTCACGGAGATCGCGGACGCGGTCGAGATCGACGAATCGGCGCCGGCGGAGGTTGTCGATTCCAGGGCGTACGTCAGAGGGCTGCTCTACTCCGTCAACGGCGAACCCGGCGGGGCGCTCGAGTCGTGGGACGCCGCGTCCTTCGGCACGCCGATCGGGCGCATGGCCCGTGCGATGCGGGCCCAGGAACTCGTCCGGGCGGATCGGTGGGACGACGCCACGGCCGAGCTCGCGAAGATGACCGACGCCACCAGCCCGTGGACGCAGGTGGAGGTCGCCAACGCGTGGTCCATGCTCGAACGCTACGAGGACGCGCTGGCCGCGGCACAGCGCGCCGAGACGCTCGCGGCCAACAATCCCGAGGCGACGGCCGAGGCGCTGGTCACGCGGGCGCGGGTGCTCGCGAGGGCGGGGCGGTCGGTGGCCGAGGTGTTCGGCGTGCTCCAGCGTGCGAACCGCGCGGCGCCGTCGTACCTGCCCGCCGCGACGCAGCTCTACACGCTGAGCTACCGGATCGACAGCGCCGACGGCCAGCGGTTCCGTGAACGTGTCCTGAATTCGCTCGGGCCGCTGCCGGAGGGCCACCCGCTGACGACGATGAGCCAGGCGCAGGACCTGATCCTCTCGGGGCGCACGAGCGTGGCGTACCGCATCCTGCGCGATGCGGCGAACGACGATGCGCCGGACCCGGGCGTCGACCAGCTCTATTTCGCGATCCTCAACGCCAGCCGGCTCTACGAGGAAGGGATCGAGTGGCTCGACGCGCGCGCCACGCAGGCGCCCTACGAGTCCCGGTACACCCTCTGGAGGTCCGAGCTGCTGCTGGGCCTCGACCGCGACACGTCCGCCGCGGAGCTGCTCGAGTCATGGCTCGAGCGGTACCCCGGCGACGACGAGGTGCGCGTGCAGCTCGCGGACATCTACCGGCGTGAGTTCGAGCGTGAACGCGACGCGGACGGGCTCGTGCTCGCGATGATCGAGAGCCGGCCGTTCTCCGTCGAGCGAGAGATCGTGCGGCTCCAGATCGAGCAGCGCCGCGCGAACGTCCCGGGGATGACAGCCGTGCTCGAGCGTCTCGGGCCGGTGTACGACCGGCTCACCGACGAGCAGCGCACCGGCATCCATTCGTTCGTCCAGGGGATCGCCCGCCAGGCGACGCGCCTCGGGCTCGACCCCGGGGAGATGCACGAGTTTTTGCGCACGCTGATCCGCATCGATCCCTCCGCGCCGCCGACGCTGCGGTCGGACGCCGCGGCGTTGGCGTACCAGAGCGGCGGCGACGCGCCCGAGCTCGTCTCGCTGTTTTTCGAGGGCGAGATCACGCCCGAGCAGCGCCGCGAGGCGCTCGAGGCGTTCCTGCTCGTGACGTTTGGCATCCAGCGGATGGACGACCGGGTGTTCGGGTTCTTCGAGCTGCTCAACGAGCGTTCCGAAGGTGACGGGGGGCTTTCGCGCCAGGTGTACCTCGCCTCGCTCTGGTTCTCGCTCGCGAAGCTGGAGGGTGTCGACCGCAGCGAGGAGGAGCTGTACGGGCGCACGTGCGACGCCATCCGGGCGACGATCCGTTCGATGGCTGACGAGGGCCTGTTCGAGGAGCTCTTCGACGGGACCGCCTCGCTCCTGAGCGAGCCGATCGAGCGGGTGTTCCGGTTCACGCCGACGGCCGAGATGCTCGCGTACGACTGCGCGATCGCGGTGAGCGCGACCGGCGCGCCGGACGCGGAGAGCGACCGGCTCTACCGGTTCATCCTCGGTCGGGACCCCGATCACGCGGAAGCCAACAACAACCTCGGCTACCGGATGCTCGAACGCGGCGACGACCCGCGCGAGGCGTACGAGCTCATCCGGCGGGCGTACATGGCCGAGCCGGCTCGGGCGCACATCGTCGATTCGTACGGCTGGGCGCTGCACAAACTCGGGATGCACCGCGAGGGCCCGGACGGCGGCCCGGGGGCGATCGAGGTGCTCAGGCGCGCCGAGGACCTCGTCCGCCAGCAGATCCGCGCCAACGAGCGGAACGCCGCCGCCCAGCTGCGCGGCCCGGACAAGCAGGAATCGCTCGAGGACGCGTTCTACGGCCAGGTGACCCTTGTGGTCGTCATCGATCACCTGGGCGACGCCCTCTGGGCGGCCGGGGAGCGGGAAGAGGCCATCAAGATGTGGAACCTCTCCGCGGCGAACGCGGAATCGTTCGGGCTGATCGACCGCCCCTTCGAGGTCCCCGACGCCGTCGTCGAGGAGTACTCGCGGGTGGCCGACGCGTGCCGGGCGAAGGTCCGCGCCGCGAACGAGGACCGGGACCCGCTCGCGATCGCGGAGACGGCCGGCTCGTCCCCTTGAGACGGGCTCGTATCCGGGCGAGAATACCCGGCTCGACCAAGAATCCCCCAATCCTTCATCGAACGGTACACGCAGGAGCACGTCAGCCATGGCCGGCCACAGCAAATGGGCGAATATCAAGCACCGCAAGGCCCGCGTCGACGCCAAGAAGGGCACGATGTGGAGCAAGTGCTCCAAGGCGATCATCGTCGCGGCCAAGCACGGCGGGGGCGACCCGACCATGAACCTCGCGCTGCGGTACGCCATCGACGAGGCCAAGGCCGCGAACATGCCCAAGGACAACATCGAGCGCGCCATCAAGAAGGGCGCGGGCGATGACCAGGACGCGAACAACTACGAGGACGTCCGCTACGAGGGCTACGGGGTGAATGGTGTCGCGGTGATCGTCGACTGCCTCACCGACAACCGCAACCGCACCGCCCCCGAGATGCGCGCCATCTTCTCCAAGCACGGCGGCAACCTCGGCGCGAACGGGTGCGTGAGCTACATGTTCCAGGCGAAGGGGATCGTCTCCATCGAAGAGGCGAACGCGAGCGAGGACGCGCTGATGGAACTCGCGCTGGAGAACGGCGCGGAGGACGTGGCGAACGAGGACGGGTACTGGACCGTCACCTGCGAGCCGGCGGACTACCTGACGGTCAAAGAGGCCATCGAGGGCGCGGGCATCGAGATCGCGTCGAGCGAGCTGACGATGATCCCGGACACCCCCACCGCCGTCGCGGGCGGCGACGTCGCGAAGGTCCTCCGCCTCGTCGAGGCGCTGGAGGACAACGACGACGTGCAGAAGGTGTACACCTCCATGGAAGCGAGCGACGCGGACCTCGAAGCCGCGATGGGCTGAGCACGAAGTTCAGTCGTATCCCAGCTCCGCCAGGTCGTCCTCGTCGAGCCCGAAGTGGTGGCCGATCTCGTGGAGGACGGTGATGCGGATCTCGTCGTAGACGACGTCCTCGTCCGCCCAGCCGCCGGCGTGGGCGACGATGCCGCGACGGAAGATCCGGATCTCCTCGGGCAGGTCGACGCCTTCCTCGACGCTCTTCTCCGTGATGGGCACGCCCGTATGAAGGCCGCAGAGCTCCTCCCGGAGGTCGTCCGCGGTGGTGGGGTCGCCCTCGGGCAAGTCGGAGAGGAGCTCGCGGAGGATGACCTCGGGGGGCTCGTCGTCGACGATGAGGGGCACCTCGGCGAGCAGGTCCATCACCCTGGGAGGGAGGCGCTCGACGACCTCGTCGAGCAGGTCGTCGAAACGGTCGCGTTCCTCGTCGGTCATGGGCAGATCGTACAGAAGCGGGCGCGCGGAGGGGCTATCCTTGTCCCTGACACGCACGACTCCACACGCGAGGAAACCCGACCCGATGGACCTTGATCAACGCATCGCCCAGTTCGAGAACATGGCCCAGGCCGATCCGGATAACGAGATGGCCCACTTCTCGCTCGCCAGCGCGTACGCGCAGGCCGAGCGGTTCGCCGACGCCGCCAACAGCTACATCGCCTGCACCAAGGCGAACCCGGAGATGAGCAAGGCGTTCCAGCTCGCGGCGGAGAACTTCGTCAAGGCCGGGGACGAGGCGCAGGCGAAGGAGGCGCTGAGCGCCGGCTACGAGGTCGCGGCGAAGCGCGGCGACCTGCTCCCGAAACGCGCGATGGCGGAGATGATGGAGCAACTGGGGATGGAGGTCCCCAAGGTCGAGGGCGAGGACACGTCCGTCGAGCAGCTCATCGCGTCCGGCGCGTTCGTCTGCGCGAAGACGGGCCGACCCGGGACGCAGCTCGACGCGCCGCCCTTCAAGGGTCCGGTCGGGGAGTGGATCAAGGAGAACATCTCGGCCGAGACGTGGCGCGAGTGGATCGGGCAGGGGACGAAGGTCATCAACGAGCTTCGCCTGGACCTGTCGCGGGACGAAGACGCCGAGACGTACGATCGATACATGCACGAGTACCTCGGGGTCTCCGAGGACGTGCTGGCGGCGAAGTAACGAGATTCGGCAGTCGGCAGTCGGCAGTCGGCAGTCGGCAATCGGGCTTGGAAGCGCGGCGCTGTTTTTACGACTGCCGACTGCCGACCTGCCGATTGCCGCCCTTACACCAGCATCCCCTGGGCCCTGAGCGAATCCAGCATCACCTGCTCGACCGGCACGGAGGTGTCGAGGAGCAGGTGGTTCATCTCGCGCGCCGCGCAGAAGGTCGTGAGCCGTTCTTCGTAGGTGTCGAAGCGTTTGCGGTACGTCTCGAGCAGCGCGGCGGACATGGTCAGCTCGCTCGCGCGGCCGGACTCGATGTCGGTGAAGCGCAGGTCGCCCGTGAGGCGGCCGTCCTCGACCTCCTTCGCGGGGTTGATCTCCGAAGGCGAGAGCGTCTGCAGGCAGAAGATGTCGAAGCCGCGCGCCCGGGACGAGCCGGCGGCCGCGAGGGCCTTGAGGCCGGGCTCGTAGCCCTCGTCGATGAGGAAATCGGAGATAACGACGAGCACGCCCGAACCGACGCGCTGTCGGGCGAGCTGGTTGAGGGCGACGTTGAAGCGGTTGCCGTCGGGCGTCGGGCCCGGGCCGTTCGCGGCGCGCTCTTCCCCGCCCAGGGCGTGGTCGATGAGGAACTTGCCGACGCCCGGGGCGTGAAATCGCCCGCGCCGGTCGCTCCACCGCGCGGGTCGGGACGCGGCCGGCGAGCCGAAGACCGTCAGGCCGACGCGGTTGTTCTGCACGAGGCCGACGTACGCGAGGCCCATCGCGAGGCGGCAGGCGTAGAGCAGCTTGTTGGGCGATCCGGTGTCCATCGACGAGGAGGCGTCGACGGCGATCTGGAGCGAGAGGTCCTCCTCCTCGAGGAAGACCTTGATGAACAGCTTCTGGAAGCGGGCGTAGGCGTTCCAGTCGATGAATCGCAGGTCGTCGCCGCGGACGTAGTTGCGGAAGTCGTCGAACTCGGCCGAGCGCCCGCGCCGTTTGGAGCGGCGCTCGCCCTGGAGTTTGCCGGCGAAGAACTTGTGGCTTCGGAGGTCGAGGCGCTCGATCTGCGCCGCCAGGCGTGGCGTGAGCAGATGCTCGGGTCTCGTGGGCCTGTCTTCCCCGGTGCTCGTGAGCATGGAGCGAATCCTCTCGACGGTGTGGACGTATAGTACGCCGGACCGCACGTGATTTCGTGAAAGGACACCGCATGACCGCTCGACGCCTGCTCCCCGTGTTCGCCCTCTTCCTGCTCGCGCTCTCTCTCGCGGCGCCGTCGCCGGCGCTGGCCCAGGCCGACCTCGCCGAGGAGAACAAGCAGCTCAAGGAACAGATCGCCGAGCTCGAGGAGCGACTCGAGCGGGCCAACCAGCAGATCAAGGCCCTGAGCGACGAGGTGAAACGCCTCCGCAACATGCGCACCGCCGGAGGGGGCGGCGAAGGTGGCGACGATTCCGGGGGCGGTGAGGCGGGCATCATCGAGGACCCCTTCGCGTCGAGCTCGGACTACATCGAAACGCTCCGTCTCGAGTACCAGAACACGTTCGGCGAGCTCGACCCTGACGACCGCCGCGCCCGCGGGGCGCGCATCCGAGAGATCCGGGGGTGGGCGAGCGACGTGCGGCGCGAGCGACAAGGGCCGATCACCTGGGAGGTCGTGCTCGATTCGAGCGACGGCCCGGCGGTCGGGCGCATCGAGGCGACGTTCCGCTCGCTCGGCTCGATCACGGGTCAGCCCGAGGGCGAGCCGTTCGCCGTGCGGCTCCGGGCCGACGACCTCCGGATGCTGCGCGACGCGGACGAGTCGACCACCTGGGTCCTCACCGGCGAGGTCTCGCCGCGCATCGGCGTCGAGACGGACCGCATGACGGCCGAGGACAACGGGCGCGGGATCTTCATCGGGCCGATGGCCGAGCTGTTCCTGGATGTCCGGGTGGACTCGATCCGCGCGAAGTGAGCTCGCTCAGCTCGCGTCGGCCTCGTCGATGTACTCCCACACCGTCACGGGCAGGGTCTGGACGCCCCACTTCCGCGCGATCGAGTGCGAGGGGTAGAGCACGTCGAGGCGGGCGCCCTTGATGGCTCCGCCGACGTCGAGCACCGGGACGATCTCATCGTTCGAGTAGCCGGGCACCGAGATGATCGAGCCGATGGGCAGGACCTTCGGGTCGGCGGCGACGAGTTTCATGGCGTTGGTCCACACGCTCTTCATCGAGGCGGTGTAGCCGTCCGCCCACTTGCCGCAGGAGCGGTGGTCGGGCGAGTACGCGGTGACGGTCATCCAGAGAACCTTCGAGGGTCGGCAGGCACGGCCGTCGAAGTAGCGGACGCGGAGGTCGGTCTCGTCGATCTCTTCGACGCGGTCGACGGTGATGGTCGCGCCCTGCGTGTGCTCCGGCTCGCGGGCCGATGACGTCACGAGCGCGGAGGGGACGAACGAGGCGGCCTGTGTCTGCACCGGACGCGGCGTAGCGTCGAGCGCGGCGAGCGGGGCGCCCAGGGCGCCGGAGCGCTTGGTCATGACTGCGGAGAGCGAGACGAGGACGGCGAGCGCGAGTACGGCGAGTGTCTTGACGACGCGATAGCGAGTGGTGACCGCGCGGACCGTGCTCGTGGAACGTGTGCTCATCTGGTGCTGTGCTCGTCTTGCGGGAAGGGGGACGCGGGCGGCACGGGGTGCTTCGCCGGCGGCTCGGAGTCTGGTGACGTCCGTGTTCGAGGCCGGCGATCGCCGGCTCTCCACACTGTGCCATCCCTGCACAGGAACAAAACGTTAGTCCTCACTCTTCTTTCCGTCCACAACGGTCTGCGCGGATCGTCCGAATGGCCCGCCCACCGATTCCGGTGGATTCTGGCCGAATCCCGCGTGATCGGGCCTCGCATGGGCTATCGACCGGATCGCACTGCCCGATAACGGCGAGACAAAAATTCGGAGAATTCGGCTCGTTTGCGGCCTCGGATCACATGATCCGGGCCGTCACCTGCACGTCCGCGGCCTCGTAGAACTCCTGAACGTCCTCGAGGGCGATGTCTCCCGGCTCACGCGACACGGCCGTCGCGGTGGCCGCGGCGAGGCCGTGGCGGAGGCACTCGTCCCACTCTTCTCCCCGGAGCGAGCCGTGGAGGATGCCGGCGAGCATCGCGTCGCCGCAGCCGACGGTGTGCGCGATGCGCCCCGGGTGGATGAAGACGCGTCCGACGGCGGTCTCGCCCGGGGTGACGGCGATCGCGCCCGCGGCGCCGCGTGTGATGACGACGTGGGCGTAGTGCCCGCCCTCGCGCGTGCTGACGGCGATGGCGGCGTTGACAAGGTCGTCCTCGGTTTCCAGTGGTTTGCCGACGAAGGTGCGGAACTCGTCCTGGTTGATCTTGAGCATCCAGAGCGGCTCTTCGCGCATGACCTCGAGCGCTTCGCCGGCGACGTCCACGATCACGCGGGCGCCGCCGTCCTGGGCGGCGTGCACGAGGGAGCGGAAATCGCCGATCGTCATGCCCTCGGGCATGGAGCCGCCGAAGACGAAGACGGTGCCCTCGCGGGCGAGCATGGAGACCTTGCTGAGCAGTCGCGTGATGTCCTCGCGGACGACGTGGAAGCCCTGCTCGCGGATGTGCGTCTCGGTGTCGAGGACGGGGTCCATGATGGTGACGTTGTCGCGCGTGCGTCCGCGGATGACGAGGAATTGGTTCGTCGCGCGCCCGCGTCCGCGCTCGTCGAGGAAGGACTCGAACATCTCCAGCTCGCCCTTGCCGACGAAGCCCGTCGCGATGCAGCGCGAGCCGAGCGTGGAGATCACGCGCGCCACGTTCACGCCCTTGCCCGCGGGGTTGCGGCCGATGCGCCGGGCCCGGACGTGCGAGCCCACGGCGAACTGCGGCGCCTCGAGCAGGTGGTCGATCGCGGGGTTGAGCGTCACGGTGACGACGCGGACATCGTGCATCGGGTCCGTTCCTTCCGGTCGCGCCGGGTGCGGCGCGGGGTGCATTCCGAGCAAGTAGAGTAGCCCACGATGACCGCCCCCCACCACTTCGCGATCACGTCTCCTGTCGAGTACGCGGTGCTCGCGGGCGTCGGGCTCGTCGCGGGGCTCGTCGGCGGGCTCGTCGGCATCGGCGGCTCGGTCATCATGATCCCCGCCATGATCATCCTCCTCGGGCAGCACCAGCACCTCTACCAGGCGTCCGCGATGGTCGTGAACGTGGCCGTCGCCCTCCCCGCGGCGATGCGCCACAAGGCCGCGGGGGCGCTGCGGATGGACGTCTTCAAAGTGATGCTCCCCGCGACGCTCGTCGCGATCATCGCGGGCGTCTTCCTCTCCAACGCGTTCGACCAGCGGACGCTCCGGATCGTCTTCGGCCTCTTCCTCGTCTACGTCGCGATCGAGTCCACCGTGAAGGCGATCAGGCCGACCCGGGGCGAGCGAACGATGGACGGGCCGGAGACCGTCACGTGGCCCCGCAGCGCCACGGTGGGCGGCGTGATGGGCTTCTTCGCGGGGTTCCTGGGCATCGGGGGCGGGGCGATCGCCGTCCCGCTCGCGCAGCTCATCATGAAGCTGCCCATCCGCAACGCCATCGCGGCCAGCGCCTCGGTGATGGCCGTCACCGCGGGCGTCGGGGCGTTGCTCAAAATCACCACGCTCGAGCAGCACGGGGAGATGTGGCGGAACGCCGTCATCCTGGCGCTGATCCTCGCCCCCACGAGCATGCTGGGCGGGCACCTCGGCGCCGGGCTCACGCACACGCTCCCGACGCGCGCGGTGCGGAGCGTGTTCGCCCTCGTGATGATCGCGGCGGCGGTCCGCCTCGTGTTATCCGTCTGACGGACGCAACACGTTGCGAACGCCCATCATCGTGAAGTGAAATTCATGTTGATTTTTCTCACCGGCGACTCAATTCGCCCTTGATATCGGTCGATCCGTGTTGCCGAGGAGGACTGACCGATGGATCAGGATGCGGTGCGCCGTCAACACGCGCCCGGAGAGGAAGTCGAGCTGCGCCGTTTTGCGCACGAAGTGGCCAACCGCCTGGACGGTGCGCTGCGGTCGGTGTCGTTGCTCGCACGCCACACGGAGAACCCCGCGGACGTTTCGTCCCTGAAACGCGCCGAGACCGCGCTGCTCGAGCTCGCGGCTCTGACCCGGGCCGCGCTGCGGACGGCCGACCCGGCGTCGATCCCCTACCGCGACTCGTCGCGCTCGCTCGACGACGCGCTGGAGATGGCGCTGGACACGGTCCTGCCGGCGTGCGCCGAGCGGTCGATCATGATCGAGTCCGAGATCGGTGAGGGCGTCGAACAGCTCCGCGCGTGCGGGCTGGAATCCGTCGCGCTGAACGGGCTCTGGAACGCGATCGACGCGATGGACGTCTCCGGGACGGTCGCGCTCCGCGCGGGACTCCGCGATGGCGCGCTCGTGCTCGAGATCGCCGACGACGGCCCTGGCGTGCCGCCCGAGGTCCTCCAGGACGCGTTCGAGGTGGGCGTCTCCGGCTCGAAGCGGACCGGCATCGGCCTGAGCCACGCCCGGGCGATCGTCGAGCAGCTCGGCGGGGTGATCGAACTGACGAACAACACGGACGGGCCCGGCGCGACGCTGACGGTGCGCGTGCCCGCCGGATCCCTCGGGGGAGGAGCGGAACAATGACCAACCTCAGGCTGACCGGCCACCCGGACGAGACGCGCCACGGCGCCCCGCCCGCGAAGGGCGATGGCGAGGTGCGCGGCAAGGTGCTCGTCGTCGACGACGACCCGATCGTCGCCGACTCGCTCGCGGAGTTCCTCGATGAGGAGGGCTACGAGGTCGCGTCGTGCTACGACGCGCACGAGGCCAAGAGCATCCTCGGTCGCGGGGATGATGCGCCGTTCGAGATCGTCATCACCGACGCGTCCATGCCCGCGAAGGACGGGATGACGCTCCTGCGCGAGATCCGCTCGGACTTCCCGGCCACCGCCGTGATCATGATCACCGGCTACGGGACGATCGAGACGGCCGTGGAGGCGGTGCGCGAGGGCGCGATCGACTTTATCGCCAAGCCGATCATCGAGTCGGAGCTGATGCTCTCGATCGAGCGGGCCAAGCGCGAGCAGATGCTCCTCAAGGAGAACCTCTCGCTCAAGCAGAAGCTGAGCGCGAAGGACGGGCTCGGGGAAATCGTTGGGTCGGACTACCGCATGTCCAAGGCGTTCGAGCTCATCGAGGCGGTGTCCTCGTCCCGGGCGACCGTCCTGCTCACGGGCGAGTCCGGCACGGGCAAGTCGATGGTCGCGCGGGCGGTGCACGAGCGGAGCGACCGTGCGAGCGGGCCGTTCGTGGAGATCCACTGCGGCTCGATGCCGGAAACGCTCCTCGAGTCCGAGCTGTTCGGGCACGTCAAGGGCGCCTTCACCGGGGCACACGACGACAAGGAAGGCCGCTTCCTCGCGGCGCACAACGGAACGATCTTCATCGACGAGATCAACTCCGCCTCGCCCGCGATGCAGGTGAAGCTGCTCCGCGTGCTCCAGGAGCGGAAGTTCGAGCCCGTCGGGTCAAACAAGACCGTCGAAGTCGACACGCGCGTCCTGCTCGCCACCAACCAACCGCTCGAGGACCTGGTGCAGCGCGGCGAGTTCCGCGAGGACCTGTACTACCGCATCAACGTCATCCGCATCGACCTGCCCTCGCTCCGCGAGCGGACGAGCGACATCCCGCTCCTCGTGGACCACTTCCTCGCCAAGCACTCGCGCGAGCACGGCAAAACGGTCGTCGGCATCGACGACGAGGCGCTCGATCTGCTCAAGCGGTACGAGTTCCCGGGCAACGTGCGCGAGCTGGCGAACTTCATCGAGCGCGCCGTCGTGCTCTCCAAGCGGCCGACGATCACGCCCGAGGACCTGCCGGACGCCGTCCGGGGCGAGGGCCCCGGCGCGAAGCTCTCGCTCGGGTTCGACGACGGCCCGTGGGTCCCCATGACGCTCACCGACGCCCTCCGCGACCCGGAGCGGGCGATCATCCTCAAGGCGCTCGACGCCAACGAGTGGAACCGCCAGGTCACCGCGGACCAGCTCGGCATCAACCGCACGACGCTCTACAAGAAGATGAA